AAATATTTTGTGTTGTTTGTGGATAATTACATTCGTTATATATGGTATTATCCCATGCATGCTAAATCTAATTTGTATGCTATATTTGATACGTTTCGTACACTCGTTGAACGTTCTTTTTCTCGCAAGATTATTTCCTTTCAATCTGATTTTGGGGGAGAATATAAAAAGCTTGGTTCCACTCTTGCTTCGTTGGGTATTCGTCACAGGCAATCCTGTGCATATACTCACGAGCAAAATGGTAGAGTGGAACGCAGACATCGTCATGTTGTTGAGACAAGGCTGTCTTTAATGGCTCAAACATCTGTCCCGTTTCGTTTTTGGGACTATGCTTTTGAAACTGTTGTGTACCTAATTAATAAAATGCCTACTCGTGTTCTGTCTGATGAGTCCCCTCACTTCCGTTTACATCGATCTCCCCCGTCGTACTCTTACTTGCGAGTGTTTGGCTGTTTGTGCTTTCCTATCCTACATCCTTATAATCGCAATAAACTCCAGTTTCGTTCATCTCCCTGTGTCTTTCTAGGCTATCCTCCGTCTTATCGTGGCTATCGTTGTTTGGACACTAACAATGTTTTTATCTGTCGCCACGTGCGATTCAATGAGACTGTGTTTCCCTTTATTTCTCCTATTGCCTCGCAGGTTGCTACACCACGTCCCGAACCGTGGGCTACTGCATCAATTGTGACGGGCCAAGGAAGTGATGTCTCGACCACGACTACTGATGGCGCTCAGTAGATTCACGAGCCCATGGCAACTTCTGGCGGTGATGTCGGTCACAGTCACGAGCAGTCCGCAAAAAATGAGCGGACTGTCTCGGACCAACAGGTTGAGCAGCGCGGCAGGCCGCGCGAATGTCCTCGACGTGCTACTCCGCCTCCTCGGTCGCATAGCATGAATACTCGCAGCTCCGGCCCGCATCAACATCTTGCCTTAACCACTATTTCCACTATATTACCTGAGCCTACCTGTTACTCTCAGGCGGTCAAGTTTCCTGAGTGGCGTGATGCAATGGGCGCGGAGTTCAATGCCTTGGTCCATAATCATATGTGGCGTCTCGTTCCATCTCAACCAAGTATGAATGTTATAGGTTGCAAGTGGATTTTCAGAACCAAACGGAAGGCCGATGGTTCAATAGACCGTCATAAAGCAAGGTTAATAGCCAAGGGTTTTAATCAAGTTGCTGGAGATGACTTTTTTGAGACCTTTAGTCCTGTGGTTAAGCCCACTACGGTTCGTCTTCTCTTATCTTTAGCCGTATCTCGTGGGTGGTCTATTCGTCAGTTGGATATTCACATGCCTTTTTAAATGGTGAGCTAGCTGAAACTGTTTACATGCGAAAACCACCTGGTTATGAAGATAAGTCGTTACCTAATCATGTATGTTTGCTTAAAAAATCTCTATATGGTCTCAAACGGGCTCCACGAGCATGGTTCACAAGGCTACATGATTTTCTTGTCTCTGTGGCTTCTCGCTTTCTAAGACGGATGTGTCTCTTTTTATCTATTCCCGTGACAATATTCGTCTTTATTTCTTGGTGTATGTTGATGACATTTTAATTATGGGTTCTGACTCAGATCGTATTACTGCTCTTACTGATAAATTAGCACTTGAATTTAAGGTTCGTGATATGGGTGTGCCTTCTTTCTTCTTGGGAATAGAAACTGTCACGTTATCTGGCGGTATGCTTTTATCCCAACAACGGTACATGAAGGATATTCTCAAATGTGCTGGCACGGTGCACTACAAGCTAGTAATCACGCCTGTCTCTTCTGCGAAAATCACAGACGACGCGGTCGTTCCCTATACCGATCCAACAAAATACAGGAGTCTTGCTGGTGTTCTCCAGTATCTTACGGTAGCTCATCCGGATCTATCTTATGCTGTTAATCTATTGTGTCAACATATGCATGCTCCCACTACTACAGACTGGGCATCTCTAAAGAGAGTCCTGCGGTATGTCAAAGGCACCCTGAATCTTGGCCTGCGTATTTCTCGGTCTACATCTATAGATATTCACGCCTCTTCTGACTCAGATTGGGCTAGCGATCCGAATGACCGCAAATCTACTAGTGGCTTTGCTGTGTTCTTGGGCAGTAATCTTATATCTTGGGTTTGACGGAAGCAACGGAATGTGGCACGTTCTTCGACTGAAGCAGAATACAAGGGACTCGTTGATGTATCTGCAGAAGTTACATGGCTTGTTTCTCTGTTACATGAAATCGGCATCCCGCCTGCATCTCCTCCTTGACTATGGTGTGATAATTTGGGAGCTACTTATTTATGTGTCAATCCAGTGTTTCATGCCCGCACAAAGCACATTGAGATTGACTATCATTTTGTTCGTGATAAAGTAGCCAAAAATGAGTTAGAAGTGCACTTTATTTCAACCAATGATCAACTAGCGGATATTTTCACAAAGTCTTTGTCGTCTCTTCGTTTTAACTCTATTTGTGACAAGCTCAATGTTTTGGCTAGCCAACCTTGTGCTTGAGGGGGAGTATTAGGACTATATTATTCATATTAGACTATGACTATATTATTCGTGTTAAACTAGGATTCTATCTAGCATCTCTATATATTCGCTCCATGTACTCTCAGACATTATTATTGAGTACAACACAATTATATTCTCATCTTTTTAACAACTTTAATGTTTCAAAATGCTAAAATTCAAAAAGTTGTTCAAAATAATTTTTTCGATTAACTTTTTGAGAAAGTAATTGTGTATATATAATCAGCTAATAGCTAATTTACCAAACACTTTTTTTACAATCAGCTAATGATATCAAATAGTTAAACTCATTAACCCAATCAGCTAATAACCATTTACCAAACACTCCATATGTATTGAATAATAGAAATCATCCAAAATTAATATTTTTTTTGGATAGGAGGGGAAAAATCTCAAAAATCCAATATTATTGGTCTCTCATGACGACGTCACACGTGTTGGGTGGACCAAAGCAATCCTCCATCAAGATGTCCATGATTGTTGGGGGAGGGCGGGTGATCTCCCGCAAATTATGATGTGCTACATGGTGCACACGGTTGCAAAAACGACGTCGTTTTGACTAAAAACTTGCATTCCACTTTAAAAAAAAAAAAAAAAAAAAAAAATCAGGTTCGATTTTCGGCAATAGCATTTTTTTGTACATAATTTGAATTATATATCCACAAATTCATAACTATATATCCACAGTGAATGAATAACACAAAATCCAGAATGAATGAACTAAATATCCACAATGAATGAACTAAATATCAACAATGAATGAGCTGAATATCCATAAATTCATAACTATATATCCATAAATTCATAACTATATATCCACAATAATGCTGTTGAGGGGAATCGAAACTGAATTTTTTTTTTTAAATGGGACGCGTGTTTTTAGTCAAAACGATATCGTTTTGCAACCGTGTGCATGCACAGCATAACTATTGGTGATCTCCTCCCACCTTCAGCTACATGTGCTTGCGAGTCTCAATAAGAAGTCAACTGTCTAATTTTACTCTCTAAAAAGGTGCTCAATTCTAACATTCTAGTCCCTTTCCATCTATTCACGGCAGCTCTTAATGATGTCTCTAACTGACCCCAAGAGCCTCGTCACTCCTTTAATCCAGTCCACCACTTTAATTGAATCGCTCTAAACTTCTAGACACATTGCAATCGTTATTGTGTGAACTATACTATCAAACAATGCAATATATTAAAATGTGCATTATATTCAAAGAAAATACATTATTTGAGTACTGAAAGTATATTATTTTATATAATGTACATTTAATTCATGAATAATGTACTTTTTATATTGAGTTAATACCTAAAATCGTCCTCGACTATACTGGTTTTTCTCAATTTCGTCCTAAACGACTTTGGTGACCTAATATCGTCCCAGACTTTTGTGTTTCGCTCAATTTAGTCCTCCATTTGTTATTCCGTCAAATTGGTGTTAAATTAAGGGACAATTCAGTAATGTCAATATTGATCTCTCTTTACTTTCAACTTGTGAAGTGTGAAATTCCTCTTTCTTGTACGAATTACACGCAGAATTACTCCCGGACCTGCAAATCAAATTTTATATTCGCAGTTTTAGGAGTAATTCTGGGAGTAATTCGTAAAAAAAAAAAAAAAAAGGATTTCGCAGTTCACATGTCTATGAGTAAAGAAATGCCAATATTAAAATTACTGAATTATCTATTTATTTAACACCAAATAGACAGAATAACAAATGAGGGACTAAATTGAACAAAAACACAAAAGTCTGAGACTAAATTGAGCGAAACACAAAAGTCTGGGATGATATTAGGTCACCAAAGTCGTTTAGGACGAAATTGAGAAAAACCACTATAGTCGAGGACGATTTTGGGTATTAACTCTTTTTATATTCAAAAATGTACCTTTTATTATGCTCCACAGAGCATTATATGAAGCATGATCCATACAATAATTTGCCAGCACCTTGCACAGTTGCACCTCTACCCCAGGCCCACTTGCAACTCTACCGCAAACTTTCTATCTCATCCACATAATTACCCCCTATGTTGATAAAGGAACCCTTCCCTCCATCGACCAACCTCGCCCCTCGATGGCCAAAACTTATGCAAAAGTTTTGAGATAAAGAAAAAATATTATTTCTTTTACATTAGACTTATAAATCAACTTTTATGAACGAAACAACAGCTTCCTAATATGACAGTCGAGGTTGGAAAACTATGAACATCTACTAAAAGGAAGCAAATACAAGCAGACATTCAAATACGAATTACAAAGAATATCATTATCCAGATTACATGCAATTTGGCACCATAACATAGAGATGGTACAAAATTGCTTATGAGTAAATGTCTACTAAAATTGTTGAGTTAACACTCCCCTGAAGTCCAAATGCTAGAACAGCATGAAAAGATTTGCTCCCCAAAATGTCAGCACAAATACCAGAGAATACCAAAATTTGGGAAGAGGGGCACTAGTTTTTTATGTACAAAGCAATACAGAAAGAGAAACATGAATGATAGTTGTGAAACAGTGAAGCTATACAAATATTCAACCACCCATTGAAATATATTTCAACAAGGTGTAAGAATTTGACAACAATACAGTACAATATAATACAACAGTGCCATATATTCACCCCTAATTTTGAGGTTTACAAAATAAAAAAAGAATAGGTTCGAATTTAAGGCTGCTTTGCAGCTAAATACTAAGCCACCAAATTCAAGGGCAAACCATTGCCTGCTTGCCTGCGAAGGTGCATACAATCATCACTCAGACTTGCGTTCGCAACTCCTTTTCTTAGAACTACAGCCCGACTGCCTGCAAAATAGTATACTAAATCAAGTCAGAAGGATGGTTGCTGTGGAAGCCCAAACGTCGTGTTTTAGAAAATTGCAATTGACTTACGACTCTTCACAATTTTCTTTGCTGATAGATGACTGCTGTGTACTCCCTGATGGTCCTGAGACCTATAGAGAAAAAGAGATGAAAATATGTGATACCATTAGCACACAATTCATAAGGCTGTCAAGGCATGTTAATTATGCTATTTGTTCCCGAAATTTTGAACTAAAAATATGAAATACCCCATATATAGTCCTTTCACCATGGCAGATCAATGATTCAATGAATGACAGAAATTAACAAAATTCCTTTTCCTTTCAACTGTGTCTCTAAAAACAACTTTCTGTACAAACACTGGTATGCTTAATCTAACCAGTTTATAAGCCAATACTCTTCTTCCTCACAAACACGGAGAATAACCTGACTCATTAACTTTCTCTAGCATTTTTTTTTTGCAATAAACAAACATTCTCAATCAGAGTCTAAACTCCCCCACCCATTTTTTTTAAAAAGAAAAAAAAAAAAAAAAAAAAAAAAAAAAAAAAAAAACAATATGTAGTGTCAATCAGAGATGATTTAGACTTGACCCTCCAATCCAACCCTAATCTCATAAATCAAAGTTTAGGTAGGCAGGTAGCAAGAAAACCCCCAAACAACTAGAAGTCTAGGGAGGAAAGTGTTTTGAGTAAAAATCAATTCATAAACAACAATAAGCACCGTTGCATCAAGCTTGAAAAAAAAACCCCGACTTTCTTAAATATGCATTTGAAGCAATCTAAAGAAAGGAGTTCAAATAAAGCACGCACTAAAATCAACTATACTCATATTATTCAATGTATTGAACAAGCAATGTAACAAAAGATATGAGTGTTAAATAGACCAACATGATTGCGTACTCTTTTGTTCCCTCTGCTATGAGCTTCAAGGTACTCTTCATATGTCTGCAACATGGGACCCGAAGTTAAAAGGGAGAAAAGAATGAAGGAAGCCCATAACAGAAGACAAAAAAAACAAAGGTGAGAAAATAAGAGGAAAAACATTAGGGTAAACTCATCAATAAATGCTTTAAACATATGAAAGTAAGTGGCTCAAATCTTAAAGTATGAATAGAATAACTTCAGCAGACAAAAAATATAAAAATAAAAACTACACAATCACGAATTGAAAAACTAAACAATAGCATAAATAAGAATTTAGTCATCTGCACCTCATGCCTTAATAAGATGCTTTATTTTAACTTGATGGACACGTACCATGTCTAGGATATCTTCATCAGTGAGAGTACTAGCATGAGGACTTTCACCTGAGAAGCCCAAAACATCAAATCGAGAAGAAAGATTTGGGCCCTCATGAATATTTGTGACGCTTCTGCTTCCCTGAGAATATCCAGACTGCTTCCATTTTGAGGCTCCAGAAGCAATACACAAGTCCTCAGGTAGAAACATACCATCTGCACCATGGCAATCAGCATGGAATCTACTTGCATCAATTTGATGCTGGTAAAGTAAACCAGGATACATCATTGGAGCCATATGCATCAGAGGCATATTACAATGTTCATCTCTTGAATGAACTGAAGGCTCTATATGAGGCCTAGAGAGATCATCCCTCAAAAATTTGTCCCTGAATGCAGCAATAACAATTTAGAGAAATATAGATAGGAAAAAGGGTTTTGGCAGAATAAATATATTCAGGCAGGGCTAAGAAAACTTGTACACTTTGAAATTAACATCAGACACATCCTTTCCATCAAGGAGCTCGCATAGAGCTTCACCAACATCTGGATGCAACTCCTACATAAATATAAGAACATCAGTCAAGATCCTACTAAATTAATGAAATATAACAAGTTCTACAGTAATAACTAGCACCTGACAATCCCTACTAATTTTAACAGGTTTGTACTGATTCCATGGGTTTTTCAGATGAAGAGTCTTCTGAAAAGGCAAATCGTGCAACCGCAGCCATTTAACATTAAAACTGCGACCCCAAGGATTGCGCCCACCACTTCCTTGGCTCCAGACATGGTCACGTCTCCCAACAGATGATGTCATTTGTGCATATCCTTGGAAGAAACCACTCATGTTGACACTAAATATTAGAATAACCTTCTTTGAATTCTGCAATAAATGTGTGTGCTAGTTAAGCACAAAAGTTGTAAAAGGTGAACGAATAAGCCTAAGGCACTGAAACAGCAAAAAAACATCTTACATGAAAGGCTTCCTCCAGAATATGCTCATTCATAACTTGTGTTGCCCAAATGCCTTTCTTTACTGACAATTGAAGGTTTTCATGGTTCAAACTCTTGATAATGAAATATCTTGTGCCATGCAGCTTTCCATTCCCAACTGCAGCTGAAATGCCAATCTGATCACATGGGATTTCCTGGTAATCTGCTCCAGAATGATAGGTATTGTTCTTCTCTCTATAGTTTGGGATATCTAGAAAATGCATTCCACATTCTTCATTTTAATAGAACATTTGAATAAGAAAAAGGAAAATACAAGCTAGCATAAATAAGAACTATGGTCTTATGGATGATGTGTCAACACGAAGGTAGCAAGGTAGCAACCATCTTTATGGGCATACAACCAAAGCCAGACATCAGTATTCTAAAATACTGTAGCAAAAATGGAACTGCTAGCTAATTAGATGAGTGGTATCACCTAAGAAAACTGAAATAATGAATAGAAACATCATGATTCATGAAGGGACTATAATAAACCAGAAATCATTACATTGAAGAATAATATACATATTCCAATTTCCAACTACAAACCATAAATCATTACAGAAGTATCAATTCCATGACAACTTTTAATTCAGAGAGTTATTGCACATTCATCATATCAACAGCATCAAATGCATTTTGCGAGAATGATCAAATGCATAAAGATTGAATTTCTCACCTCACAAATGTCTCAACCTCATCAAATGAATATCAAAAACTTTGGAAAGTTGGAAATATAAATTTTGAAAATTGCCATTCAAATTTTTGACAAGTAACTCCCCATCATTAACTATGATTAGGCATCAAAGTTCAAGGAGCTGAGTAGGTTCTAGACTTATAGAATTTAAGCATTTCCAGACCAAAATATCAAAGCTATATATTTTTCATTAAGCATTTACTATAAAAGCTTACTATGCATTATTCTATTCTATTTAAGTTCTTCAAAAAAGAACCAAAGCCAGCCACAAAGTTGCATCCCCTAATATCATAAGAAGCTCATCACTATGTGACCAAATCCCTTGGACCTCTGCATTGCCATTCTAGTATGGATCTAGTTTGCTTATTTTAACAATTTAAAGGCAAATCAACAACAATTATTAAGCCATTGGAGCTGCCCAAAGTTCACTAAAAAAAGCTATTTGGCATATACTTGATGTTTTTTTTTAACTCATCTAGAACTGGTATAACGTGCATGATTATACAACTGTAGCTTCTATTTGAACCATGTGAAAGGAAACCTGAAAGATAAAATGTTTAGAACTCCAACAGGCCATACAGACTATATGGTGAATCAAACAAATGAAACAATTCAAAACATGCAAGACAGAACATTTAAACTCTACACACTCAGAGAAATGTCAATGTTGGAAAACTGAACAGATGGAAAAAATTAGATCACCGTTACCTGGATCATCCATATTCCCTTTGTCATTTTTCCATTCAGTCCCCGATGATTCAACTACAGATACATTTTCTTTTGCAGTATCTGATGACATATCTTGGACACCTTCTATAACATGGTCGCAACAGAATGATGGTGGACACAAATTAGATCTAAAAGTACTCCTGAAATAATAAAGAAAACATTATTGGACAAATAGAATCACATGTAAGAAAGTAAATGCTCAAGTAAAGTTCCAATCTAATGTTGCACAAATTATATCAGAATATCAGATAAATTCACATGTAGAAAAGAGTAAAAATTTATTTCCTACACACTAAGGCCTTGTTTAGTATGCAGAGAAAGGGTAAAATCAAATTAAGATTTCAATTTCTAATTACTTCGCAACATTATCAGTTTCATCATAATTGTGAGTCTTTCGGGGCCTCCATCCCATTCTACATTCTCTGTGTTTATTTCATCAAAGGAAAAGTGATTTCCAAGGAGGAAGGAACCAAAATGTATTTCTTCCTGTAACATTAACTTCAATTAAAATATTAAATACTAGCAGGAATCTTCCTTGCATTATACACACCCTTTTTTGTTTACTACATAGAATTAGTAGTGATTTCCATTGAAGAAGGAATCACAAATTCACAATATATTTTCTTTGGATCTCATTAACTTTAATTAAATAACATCAATTCCCATCTTCAATTTTTCCAAAGTCTTATTTCATACCCATGTGTTGGAATTTCACCATACCACACATGAAAATTAACAGAAAAATACTTCCAAATCATGGACACGCAATACAGGAAAAAATTCCTAGCTCACTGAGGTATGCTTGTGGAGACAAAAATAAAATAAAATAAAATAAAATAAAATAAAATTGTAAATTAATTGTCATGACACAGACAACTAAGCACAGGGTGCAATCATATAAACCAAATTTCTCCCCCAACAGATTTTTAATTTGATTGAAACTATGGGTTATAACAATACAATTTACAACTAAAAGTCTACAACTTCTAATCCCACCAACACTCACCAAATAAACCTGCATAGAAACCCAAATAATACCCACACTCATATAATGTGAGAAATGGGGCATGAACATGAGACCTCAGCTCAAATAAAGGACTTCAAATGTCAACTCAATTACATAGGTGTTAGTCTCATTCAACACACACACAAAAAAAAATACCAACTCAAATTACACTGACATGTTTTGGCAAACGCACAAAATTCACATGCATCCTCAATCAATTTTTCACTTACAACTAGGCAAGCAGGAAGCCTGTCTCACAAAATATTTGATCATATCTTCATAATCTAATTCGTACTCAAAACATTAATAGAACATCAAGCACATTGATATCCCGGCATTCTTAAAAATTACACCATTCTAATAACACTAACTATGCTGGCAAAAAACCTAATTATAGTAAGAATTAGCTTCCAATCTAGTCTAATAAAACTACCATTTCCTACCAGTGACAAGGCATTCCTCATAATTAAACCCAACACCACTACTCTGCATTTATTTTGCATTACAATAACACAGTTTAACATGGGAAAAAAATCCAAAGTCAATTAAAATGAAATAAGAAACGATTTCGAGGAACTTACAGCATTAACTAAATAATATAGTTTACAGAAAAATTTAAACTGGAAAAGCACATACATTATGCAGAGGAAGTCAAGGGGACAAGCGGCAGGGGCAGGGGAGGGAGAGAGTGAGGGAGGAAAGGGAGGAGACGGCGGGGAGTAGTTATTGATGTCGATAAGCTGTGCCCTAATTTTTTTTGAATTTAGTGGGCCCAGTGTTTTTAAGACTGGACGGCCCAATTTCATACTACTGAATGTACTGCTGACTCCAATACATTTTAATTTAATAATTTTCTAGTTTATAAAACAAGAAATTATTTTATACTCTGTATTTGTTTGATTTCTTCATATAATAATACAAATACAAGTGGTTAGGGATGGAAATAGGCCAAGCCAAGCCAGGCTTTAGAAAATTAGGCATGCGCCTGCTATGAAAATGTAAAGCCTGAGCCTGGGCCTGTATGTAGACTCCATTGTTATACCATGGACCAGGGTTCATATTGCATTGCGAATCCCAATACAAAAATTTGTACCTTCAGTTAACACATTTTGTACCTACAGTTAACCGTTTCTGTACATGTAAACAAATAACTTGATAATTGCTTACACATAATATGATAGTTATAGGTACAGAAACTATCAACTGCAGGTACAGATTATGTCAACTGTAGATACAGAACCTGACTTAATAATTGCTGACACATAATATGATAGCTACAGGTACAGAAACTATCAACTGCAGGTACAGAATGTGTCAACTATAGATACAAAATCTGAAGGTTATTTTTGGACTAGGGTCTACAATGCAAGGTAGACCCTGGCCCATGGTATAATTTGCCTTAAAAAGACTTCAAAGTCAGTCCTAAATAGGTTTTAAGCCTATTTAAGGCCTACATGTTAAAGTCCTTTAAAGCATACATATTTGTAAAAAAATTAAAAAATATACCTAATAAAAAACCAATACATAATTACATAGGTATATTACCACAAAAAATCCATGTATCATGTATTCATATTACAAAATTACAATCAATCAACAATCAATAACCACAAAATGACACAACCATAAGTTCATAATACAATATCCAACAACACAAGTTTTATTGGTTTTGTAACTTGCTCATTAACTTGTTCAGGAATAGATTCAGTTGTATTGTTGCTTGTCATCTTATATAATCTCATAAATATTTAACAATCAAGACACACGAACAAGGTAATGTCTAACTATCTAAGTATCTAATAACATTGAATATTATAAATTTATAACACTAAGAATCAACACTTTATTGAATAATATAAAAGTAAGAACAAAGACTTAATAAACAGTAAGAACCAAACATTTATGATTATTATAGCAAATAAGCACTTCATAAATCATAAACAACTAACCAAGGTAAGTACTAATATGGTAACATACTACTAATTCATTTATATTCATCTATTCATTTAAATGTTAAAAATATTTCATTTAAAAAAATGTTTAAAATGTTAAAGAATTAGTATTCATCTAATCATCTTATATACTATTGTAATATTGTACTAAGTACTATACTGTTTAAATCTTGAAACTTAAAAAAAAAAAAACTACAGCAGCAGCCACAGTCGCCGCCACCACAAGCCGCAGCAGCACTGCAGCAGCCTCCTCGCCGTCGGCCGTCGCCACTGCTACACCACTGCCGAGTGCAGACAGACCTATCTACACTAGTACACCACTGCTAGACTATAACTCTATAAGAGTAACTGAGTAAGAACCACTAACCTGCGACGCTGCCCGTTTGCCTCCTCGCCGGTAGCTCGCCGCCCCGCCGCCGCCAGTCGTCCGCTCGTCGCAGGAACGCCGTCTGACCGTCTCGCAAAATCGCAGACACAGGAAGTCAGAACTCAACGAAAGTAATTGATTTACCAAATTGGGGGTTAGGGTTGAATGATATATATATATATATATATATAGTGGGGTTATATTGGCCCTTTCTGTAAAAAATTAGTCCCGGTCAATTTTAACTTATTTGACCACTATTAATTGTTTGATTTAGTTAAAATATCAATAGAAATGTTTGGTTAATTAGCTTTTTGCAACTCTAAAAGACTAAAATTCAAAAAGCTACTTCAAGCAACTTTTTCAATTAGCTTTTTGAGAAAAGAAATTATATCAAACAGCTATCAGCTAACAGCTAATTTACCAAACACTTTTCTACAATCATCTAATGTTATCAACTATTTATACCTTTTAATTAACACAATCAACTAACAGCAAACAGCTATCAGCTAACAGTCATTTTACCAAACAGGACCATTATAAATATAAAAATATATTAGTTACAAAATGTAATATATAAAAACAGGCTAGGGGAAATTTATATTGTGGACCAGGTTCCACATAGTATTGTATTTTAAGCTTTTACATTTGGTAGTTTTTCATTTTTCATGTTTCAATACAAATTTTAATTTATTCTAGATACAGAATCAATACTCTTAAGATACAGAATTTTATAAAACGAGACACAAAAACTCACAACACAAGACACATACACATGTTATATATTTACTTATTTTCAAATTTGATTTATGTAGATAATATATGTCTTATAGGTACATAATCTACTATCCATTATCTATTATCTACTATCTGCTATAATAATAAGAGTCCAAGAAAATTAGGCCTATAATGGTTAAAAAAATTACGGTCAAATTTTTTAATCAAATGAGTAGTTCAGATTGATCAGCTTTTAATTTTTCCTTGAGATTTCCTAATTTATCCTTAATTATATGATTATCTGTTAACTTTTCTACTATATATATATATATATATATATATATATATATATATATATATATATATATATATATATATATATATATATATATACACACTAATAAGAGTCCAAGAGAGTTAGGCCTATAATGGGTAGAAAAAATAACGGTCAAATTTTTTAATAAAATGAATGGCTCATATTGATCAGCTTTTAATTTTTCCTTGAGATTTTCTAATTTATCCAAAATTATATGATTATCCGTTAACTTTTTCGTTAAATATTATCTTCTCCGTTAATTTCTGTTAGTCCACCGCTAACTTACTCATTGCTTTCAATAAGAAAGGTCTTATGTTCGAACCACATCCCAATTAAAGTTGGCATAATTAGTACTCTATTTTACTCTTATTAAATTATTAAATAATAATAATAATTTAGTAGCTACAACAAAAAATAATAAATATACATTTCTTTAATTTAGAATTATTATGTGCTTACAATGTCTTTATTAAAAAAAAAAAATTATTCATTATCAATAAATTAAATAAGAAAAATAAGAGTGAATTCCATTTTTGGTCCTACAGGGGCGTTTTCAATTTTAGTCCACCTTAATTTTTTTTGTCACTTTACAACCACTGTTATTGAATGTGTTCCACTTTTAGTCCATCGTTAATATTTCCGTCAAGAGGCCGTATAATCCAAGAGTACTTTAGTCTTTTTATGGTTGTCTCTTCTCTTTTAATCCAGGCGCTTCGTCCTCCTCCTCCGATATTCGAAGATGGCTCTTCGAACAACGAGAATGGGAAGCCAAAGCTACATCGTTTTGTTCGTTCCAACATGGGCCGGCGAGGTTTCTTAGGTTTTAGGTTTAATGTTCTCATTTCTTTTAGTCAAACATAGTCTTGGATGAGAAGAAAGATCAAAATACCCCTAGATTACACGACATCTTGATGAAAATACTAACATTGGATTAAAAGTGGAACACATTCAATAATAGTGGTCATAAAGTGGCCAAAAAAAATTAAGGTGGACTAAAATTGGAAACACCCATATAACAGTAGGACCAAAAATGTAATTCACTCTAAAAATAATTTCATTAGTTATATTGTCTTTATTTCTCTATAATATAAAAATTCTTTACATTCGAATTAATCAATTGATTATATTCGCTATATTGTCGCTACAATGTCTTTATTCAAAAAAAATTATTCATTATCAATAAATTAATTAAGAGAAATAATTTAATTAGTTATATTGTCTTTATTTTTCTCCAATGTAAAAATTCTTTACATTCAAATTCATCAATTGATTATATTCAGTACATTGTCTATTATCTTTTTTTTTTGTGCGCTATTTTTTTAATTAAATATCAAAGTTATAATACAATACAATGTTTATATATTTATTTACCAAGTATTTTATTAATAGCATAAAAAATTTAAAAAATATAATTAAGCCAATCATATTAACTACTTGAGAGATTTGTTGACAAAGAGAGTATTCAAATCACACAACAAATTAAAGTGTAAAACTATCTCGCATAAATGTCCTTGTTTGGCAATCAGCAGTTAGTGATTAGCTTTAGCGGATTATATTAGCGAATTTGACTAGCGAATTATATCAACGGTTGATAAAAAGATATTTAAAAAATTAGCTGTTTAGAATAACATGTAAAATGACCTAAGGGTATAGATATAATAATAATAATAATAATAATAATAATAATAATAATAATAATAATAATAATAATAATAATAGTAGTAGTAGTAGTTTTAAAATAATAATAATAATAATAATAATAATTTAATAAAAGAAATAAAATAAAATAAAAAATAATAAAACATATGAGGAGCCGAACGTTCGGCTCCCCTTAGTTTTGCCACTTTTCTCACATCGGTGGAAAAAGTGGCATGGGAGCCTTGAGGCTCCTATAAAAGGAGCCTTAAGGTTCCAATTTAAAAATTAAGCTTGTTCATTCGTTGATGGACAAGTAGTCCAGCGAAACTGGCTCTTGTTATTCAAGGAGTTGAAATGGCTCTACAGTAATTTTTTTTTTTTTTAAATATAGAGGTGTTTTGGGGAAATCATTCTCAAAAACGCTAAGTGAAAATATTGTTGTTGGTTTTAGGACTTTTGGGTCCAATGAGGTCCAACACAACCGTGGTTGGTGGATTCATTGGAAAATAAAATATAGATGATTATTGCGAAAAAAGGTAGCTATGAATGGTGCTTATATCTGCTTAGTGATTCTGTCTCAACTTTTCGGTGGCTTTTCCAGCTAAAAGACCTCTGCCTCTACACTTTCTAAGGGGGCATATTTATAGGTGACCACCCTTCGTAAATTTAAATACAAACATAAATGGGAAATAATGGGGCTATTAAGGCCAAGGGCCGTTGGGTCGCTGTTACTAGGCCTCCCCAACAGCCGGGTTGACTATGTATTAAAGGCGGTCTTTAAGTGGCAACAGTCATCTGCTAGGCCGACTCTCGTTCATGCCGACCGTTTGTCTGTGCCAACTCTTTGGACTCGGCTCCTCACTCGGCTGCATTCTCCTCCGGGCCTGCCCATGGCCCACAATGTAAATTCTCTTTTATCGCCCTTTGGGGCTTACTACAGCAAGCCCAACCTCTGGCCCATTTCTTCTTCTTCTTCTTCTTCTTCTTCTTCTTCTTCTTCTTCTCTTGGGCCCCGAGCCCATTGGGTCTATATCCCATCAACTAGTCCCTCACTTTCTAGCACTGAGCCTGCTTGCTTGAGTGCTAGAAAGTACCCGGCTCTGAGAATCTTTTTGTGCAAAAACGTCTCTATCGTTTCCCCTTTCTTCGCCCAGACTTGATGGCCGAATCATTGCTTGATTTGTAACGATATCTTTCTGATTGCTCGTCTTCAATTTCCCCCTTCCTTCCAACTTATAAATAGAGCAAGTTTTCCATCTCTTTTCCCCATTCTCCCCTATCTTCTTCCTGCCATCCATGGGTCGCTCGAACCTAGGCGCTAAGAAGATTGATTTTGATTCCCCGACGGGTTTTCCGACCCCTCCGGCCAAGCGAACGAATCTTGGTAAGAAGAAAGAGAAGAAGGCCAAAAAGGTCGCCTCTCGCAAGCGCTCCACAGATCCCTCTTCTTCGGGATCACGCATGGCTGAAGATGCTCCTCCTCCGAGCACAAGCTCGCCCCGTCCGACTACTGCAAAGGTCACCGCCGAGGATGGCACATCGGTAGAGGTGGCCGTGAACAAATGATGTTCGAGATGACTTTTACCATCCCCTTATACGACCCGGCGGAGCTGGAGACCGAGCACATATCTGACTCTGACTATGCCCGTTTCCTGGAAACTTATTTTGGGAATGCTTCACAGGTCGCTCCCCCAATGATGCCGGCCTTCTGGGAGTCAGTTTGTCCTTCTCCGACTGACTCGGAGTTTCCCAACGACCTGTCATTTCTGGACGATATTTCCTCACCGGAAAAGTGAGCGTGCGAGTTGTCGAAGCGAGTTGTTGATGCGAGTTTGACTTAGGAAAAGCGTTAGGTCTTTCTAAATAAAGCTTTTCCTGAGTGTTATTATGTTTATAAGCCCTCTTCATTTTTAATAAAATGCAGTCCTCCCGTTTCTTGATTTGCTGTCATCTTTTTAATATTTCCTTTTGAATGCACTCTTGGATATGCTGTCTATGCTTTGCATGGGCACAACATGATGACTCTCTTTCCTCAGGATACGACCGAGGAGTTGTTCGTTTTCTTTTCTTTTCCGGGCATGACCGACCATGCGCGACCTCCCTCTCTGGAGGTCTGGCTGGTTGAGTATTTTTCCACGTATCTCTTGCCGGCTCCCAAGATCTGACAACTTGTCTAATCTTGGTATCTTTCCATATCTATGGGAGATTTGGTTTCTGTCCAAGGCAGGAATCTTTCTTACCGAGATTGGATTGACGAAGATTTTTACTGACGAAGATTCTTGCTTTGATTTTCCCCTTCACTCCGTGTGCCTGCTCTCAAATGGTAAGTCCCCCAATTTTGCTTCCCTAATTTTCTCCTCGAAAACTGATTCTTCCATTTTATAAATGGGACCTTTGTTGTAACACCCCGTGTTACGGCCTTTAACCCAAACTAATTATTTAATTACTTACCCTTAAAAGAGAATTAAATTCCCTTAATTAATTAGGAAGGGCCCACCATAGACCATGGACCCCTATCCCTAAACCAAACCCTTAGTCCTATAAGAAATAGAATTAGTAAACCCATACCTTTCAGATCCTAATTAGGACTCTTAGATATATATAAGGACATAGGAGGCACCTAGAATTCACACCACAATAGCTTTCACCACACAAGAATTCCCAAGAATTCCCCTAGGAGAAATCAAGAAGAGGAGATCTTAGAGAAAGAACCTTTATAGCCAAGGATTCTAATTAAGGCTAAAAGGTAACCCATGTCTCAACAAAACCTATTTTCCTTGCTATACTCTTCTTCTTTGGCTCCTTATTCTATGCTTGCGTCTTGATAAATCTTTTATGATGATTATGATATGATCTTGATGTTGATGAGATGATCTTATGTGTTGATCTTGATAATCTTGATGATTATAAGGGGATCTTGATAATTATGTGTTGTTCTTGATAAATCTTGATGTTCTTGATTTTAAAGATAAAGTATGATTTTGTGATTTAAATATAATTAGAGCCCTAGGTTGAATCGTGAATTTTGTATTGTGATATTCTTGGTTTATTTCGGTGGGATTTCGCATGTTCGGGTGTTGATTATGTTTAGAAGTCATGTTAGGATGTGTTCAATATGATTCTTGGTTTTGATCCATTATTTGACTACGTGGTGTCATCGTTTGTGTTTAAAAGTGTCTAGGCATGGTTTTGGGTTTAACGAAAGATCACGGGACCGGAATATTGCAAAAGAGTCAGTGGGGGGTAGGGGAACCCGCCACCTACCCGCTGCCCCTATGGGCGTCGCCGGGAGCGGGCAGCCGACTGCCCGCCGGGCACCCGTTGCCCAGCAGTCTCGCCGCCGGCAGGTGGTCCTCCACCCGCCGGCCACCCACTGGTTTCCCAAGTGGGATGGTGGTTTTCCCTGTTTGATGTTTCCCCGACCCCCGAGGTGTCCCAACGGACCCTGCTTGTCGTGCCTGAGTCTAGTTTGATGTTTCGGGTACCATTCGTAGGATAAAAAGAGTCTTGGGTATTGCATGCTAGTTGAATTGGTATCTCGTTGGCCTAGGTGAAAGATGTATGAATCCCTTAGGAATATTCCTAGTATGTGGATGACCACGCATAAGTTTATTTATACGTTTTCTCCCGCTTCCCAATGTGCTAATGTGGGTTGCATGTGCTTGCTATGTGTTATGTGTGCATGATACCCCAATTTGGTTGCGATCAAATTGGCTATACGGGCAGTTGGATGGGTTGAGAACCATCGGCTGTTAACCAGGCCGGTTGTGATCGGTCAGGTATATAAATATTATATAGGGCTGCGGTCCACCGTTTGGTTGTGATCAAACGTTATACATGAGCTGCGGTTCATAATCTGGTTGCGATCAGAAATACACTTCTTGGGTTGCGGTCCACCGTTTGGTTGCGATCAAACGTTATGATGAGCTGCAGTTCATCGGTTGGTTGCGATCAACCCCTTCGTGTTGCGATACGAGGCAGGGTGCTGCGGGACCGTGTTAGCACTATATGCGCTGACCCTCATGTATGGGCATGCTATTGGTCGTGTGGCGCCACACAACAAAGTGTGCTTATGTGTTGAGATAATGATTGAATAAGGATATGAATGATGTGAAATAACCTTGTAACCTTTGGATATATGCTAGTAACTTTATATGCATGATTATATCTGTTGAATGTGCTTGTCCCTACTTGTTGAGTCTATTCTTTGTTTAAAAACTAGAGTCTCCTAAATACATATCTTCCGGCTTCAAAATGGTTTTCCTATATATATATATATATATATATATATATATATATATATATATATATATATATATATATATATATATATATATATATATATATATATATATATATATATATAGAGTGAGAGAGAGAGAGAGAGAGAAAAGTTCAAATATGGCCCCGTGCGGCGGTGCGGCGAAATTTCATAATACACCAACAGTGTTAACAATATGCACTGTGAACAAAGAAAATTGAATAAAATATATTAATATTCAAAATTCCGGTTACATGTCAAATATCAATGGGGTGTGGGTACAAGTCTCTGGATGGTCCTCTGATTCTTCAATTGGATGCGTTGAACACTCCACCATTGAAGGGCCTCCGGGTTTCAAGTGGCTTAATCTTCAAAGAAGGACTTGTATATATAGCTTGTTCAATTCTTCTTGAAGGGCCTCCGGGTTCAAATGGCTTGATCTTCAATGGAGGTTTGGATCAACATGAATCAACATATGGAGGAGGAGGGGCTTTTACTTTTGGGATCACATTTTTATTGTGATCTCTGAATAAGCTTAAGAGTTCTTTCTATGATTTTTCCTAGGATGTGTACATAGAAATGAAAGGCCCTATTTATAGCGGTAGGATAGAAGAGTTTTGATAGGTTCAAACTCTTTTGATATTATCTAATTAAAAAATTAGATAATATCAATATTATCCAAAATATTTTAAATATATTCAAATATACTAATATTGATAAATAATCAATATTTATCAAAATTTAAGTGTCTACAAATGCCCCCTCGAGACTTGCTTGTACACCACTTGATAACATATACCACTCCAAAGTATATAGTGCAAGGAAGTCTCGACACTACAACTTTAAGATATAAGGCCGTTTCAACTCGTGCCAAGGAGCCTTGAAAGATATGAGGCCGTTTTAACTCGTGCCAAGGAGTATCATTTAACCTCCTCCATTTCAAATTTCATATGGGGTTCCCATACCAGTTGAAAGTGTCTATGAAGAGATGAGAGGTAGAGCTGTCTCACTGGGCGTGCAAATTTGTGAACAAAGAAAATTGAATAAAATATATTAATATTCAAAATTTCGGTTACATGTCAAATATCAATGGGGTGTGGGTACAAGTCTCTGGATGGTCCTCTGATTCTTCAATTGGATGCGTTGAACACTCCACCATTGAAGGGCCTCCGGTTTCAAGTGGCTTAATCTTCAAAGAAGGACTTGTATATATAGCTTGTTCTTCTTGAAGGGCCTCCAGGTTCAAATGGCTTGATCTTCAATGGAGGTTTGGATCAACATGAATCAACATATGGAGGAGGAGGGGCTTTTACTTTTAGGATCACATTTTTATTATGATCTCTGAATAAGCTTAAAGAGTTCTTTCTATGATTTTTCCTAGGATGTGTACATAGAAATAAAAGGCCCCATTTATAGCGGTAGGATAGAAGAGTTTTGATAGGTTCAAACTCTTTTGATATTATCTAATTAACAAATTAGATAATATCAATATTATCCAAAATATTTTAAATATATTCAAATATACTAATATTGATAAATAATCAATATTTATCAAAATTTAAGTGTCTACATGCACCAACAGTGTAAGGAAAACACACCACAATGAAATGCAATAAAACATCAAAAAATACAATGAAATGCAATAAAACATCAAAAAATACACAGCAGACTCAAAAAAATACATCATATGACTCACCACCCCCAATGGTGTATTTCCGAACACTGTATGGTGTTTTTACTCACACCTAATGGTGTGTGTTTGGTGATGCGTACCTAATTTGTCTCTGTTTTTTGTGGTGTATTTTCCTAACATTGATGGTGTATATTTGTTGAACTATTGGTGATGCCGTACCGCCGCACCGTAAGACACCGCCGCACCTGAACTCGCCTATATATATATATATATATATATATATATATATATATATATATATATATATATATATATATATATATAATTTCGGATTTTCGTAAGGGGTCAATGGGTCGGGTTTGCTTATCGGATTTAGATATCCACCCGTGAACTTTAGTGTGTTTCGGGTCGGACAGATTTGTCGGGTTGGGTGGGTTATGCACCGTACTGCAAAGTCGAATGCATAGAAGACCAAATTAACAGTGTACATCCGGGGGATACTTGCACGGTGGTTGTACTTTTCCTGAGCTGAGGGATCAACTTGTCATTCTTCGTTGATTAGTCCTATTATATTATATTGTAGCTAAGAGAATGATATATGAATGGGGGTTGGCATCTCATCATCACGTGCTTACCCTCCATACAAGTACAAATGCTCGCCTAACATTTACACATTGTGTTATATTTTCCATTATTATATATATATATATATATAATCCCCTACACAATCAAGATCTATCGAATGAAAAACAAGAAATAATATATATATAATTCAACAATATAATGGTGTCTACTATTACTGCAACTGTTCCCAGCAGGGTGGAGAGGCTAGCAAGCAGCGGCATCGAACGCATCCCTAAGGAGTACATAAGGCCGGAGGAAGAGCGGAGGAGCATCGGCGACATTTTCGAGGAGGAAAAGATCGCCGGAGGGCCACAAGTCCCCACCGTGGACTTGAAAGGGATCAACTCCGAGGACTTGGAAGTGCGGGAGAAGTGCCGAGAGGAGCTGCGGAAGGCGGCGGTGGACTGGGGCGTGATGCACCTGGTGAACCACGGGATATCGGAGGAGCTCACAGGCCGCGTCAAGGCTGCCGGAGAGGGGTTTTTCGGTCAGCCAATTGAGGAGAAAGAGAAGTACGCTAATGACCAGGCGGCGGGGAATGTCCAGGGCTATGGTAGTAAGCTGGCAAATAATGCCAGTGGGCAGCTTGAGTGGGAGGATTACTTTTTCCACTGCATTTTCCCCGAAGATAAGACTGATCTCTCCATTTGGCCTAAAACCCCTTCTGATTACATGTAAGCCTATCTATCTTTTTTATTTCAAATTTTCATCACCCTATATATTTAACATGGCTTCATATGATGATTAAGTGTCCGGGGTACGATTAGCCAATTCATAACTAATAAATATAAAAGATTATTATGACAATTAATACGAGTTTTTTTTCTCAAATCAAGAGGTGTCATGAACAAACTTTAACTGTAGTATAAAAAGTTACTTGTTTACATTTTGGTCTTCAAATAAAGATTTTTACAAGAATAAAAATGAAAATTAGAAGATAGTGGTTGGGTCAACTCGATCACTTTGTATTAAAAATATCAAAATGTTGTAGTATTTAAAGTCATTTCAACGATTTTGTTAGTGGGGGATAAAAAATGATCATATATAGACACAATAATACTAAGATTAAAGGAATATTTTGAAAAAATTAACTAGAAACGGACTGTTAGATATAAATTTAGGACCAAAAACGAAAATAACTCTATAATATATTTTTGAAAACCAAAAAATAATCACTTTTTTGACTAATAAATTTAAGCACCGAATTAAATTTATAGCATATGATAGTACATTAGAGATTAAACCTTGTAACTTAGAGATCAAAAGTATAGTTTTCCTCCAATGCAAAGACTTAAACAGCCCCGATATTGAGAACCAAAAAAATTGACACTAGATACCATAATTGAAAGTATAATTTATTAAGAACCAAATTAAATGTGTTATTTTTCTTACTCATAATCATAGAATTTATCAAATTGGGGGTTTTAATTTATATATGTCAATTGTTTTGGGGGTCATTTTGTTTAGAGATGCAACAAAGGAATATGCAAAGCAACTGAGGGCATTAGCCACAAAGGTTTTAGCAGTGCTGTCACTAGGGCTAGGGTTAGAGGAAGGAAGGCTGGAGAAGGAAGTGGGAGGGATGGAAGAGCTTCTTCTGCAAATGAAGATAAACTACTACCCAAAATGCCCTCAGCCGGAGCTAGCCCTGGGCGTGGAAGCTCACACCGACGTCAGCGCCCTCACCTTCATCCTCCACAACATGGTCCCCGGCCTGCAGCTCTTCTACGGGGGAAAATGGGTCACCGCCAAGTGCGTCCCTAACTCCATCATCATGCACGTCGGTGACACCGTCGAGATTCTCAGCAACGGCAAGTACAAGAGCATTCTCCACAGAGGGGTTGTGAACAGGGAGAAGGTGAGGGTTTCTTGGGCGGTCTTCTGTGAGCCGCCCAAGGACAAGATCCTTCTCCAGCCCCTGCCGGAGACCGTGTCAGAGGCGGAGCCGCCGCGCTTCCCGCCCCGCACTTTTGCCCAGCATATTAAGCATAAGCTCTTCAGGCAAAGTGATCAGGAAGCAGCAGACACGCCCAAACCTGATAATGATGATCATCATCAATCAAATTAGCTAGCTTATTCTTGATTCAATTGCAGGTCCTAAACAACTTAGTTTTGAATTTTGATTACGACAGCCACTGTTTCTTGTTTAATTTACGTTAGAGGTTTTTTTTCTTTTTACTGTAAAGTATGTGTATGTGTCTTGTATTATGTGTTTATGTGCCTCATGTTATGCAATTTTGTACCTTAGCGTATGAGTTCTGTACCTTAAAAAGATTAGTAATTCTGTACCTTAGCGTATGAGTTCTGTACCTTAAAAAGATTAGTAATTGTGTAATACATAATATATTGTGTCTTATTTGACGAATTTATGTCTTCTATTATGAAATTATGTGCCGGTAAGACATATAGTATCTACATAAATCATATTTGAGAATAAGTAAATATATAATGTGGGTATACCAGGACTATGTGGTCTAATGGTATTCGGGTTGGACTTCCATTTGGAAGATTGTGATTTCGAGCCTCAGTAGAGGCGTTATTGGCTCTTTGTGTTTCAGTAGGTTAAGAAAGTATGAACAGATACTACATTGTAATAGAGCTAGTAGCATTCAAAAAAAAAATATATATATATATATTTTTTATAAAGGAAGGGGGATACCCATACAAATTACGCCTACAACAAAGCTCAAAACCTTGAGAATAAGTAAATATATAATGTGTGTATATGTCTTGTGTTATCTACATAAATCATATTTGAGAATAAGTAAATATATAACGTGTGTATATGTCTTGTGTTGTGAATTTTTGTATCTTGTGTTATTGACTTTATACTTAGAATAAATTAAAATTGAGTTAATACTCAAAATGGTCCCCGACTATAGTGGTTTTTCCCAATTTCGTCCTGAACGACTTTGTTGACCTAATACAGTCCCAGACTTTTGTGTTTCGCTCAATTTAGTCCTCTATTTGTTATTTTGTCAAATTGGTGTTAAATAAAAGGACAATTCAATAATATCAATATACCTCTTTTTACTTTCAACCTGCGAAGTGAGAAATCCATCTTTCTTGCACGAATTACACCCAGAATTACTCCTACACTTACGAATCAAATTTTATATTCGCAGGTTTAGGAGTGATTCTAAGAGTAATTCGTAAAAAAAGAGAGATTTCGCACTTCACATGTCTATGAGTAAAAAGATGTCAATATTAAAATTACTGAATTGTCGATTTTTTTTTAACAACTAATGGACTAAATAACAAATGGAGGACTAAATTGAGCAAAAATACAAATGTCTAATACTAAATTGAGTAAAAACACAAAACTCTGGGACTACATTAAGTCACCAAAGTCGTTTAGGACAAAATTGAGAAAAATCAGATTTTGGGTATTAACTCAATTAAAATTTAAGTTAAAAAATAGAAACAAAAACAATAGAATTTGTTAAAGCTTAAATATCAAAACCACTCTTTTCAAACCACCTACTATTAGAATGTAATTTGAGCCTATAAAATGATAACCTAAAAAATTGGTGACCGCAAAAGAAAGAAAGCTCAAAGAAAGCTCCAAGAAAGTGATCCAGATTCTTGACACAAGCGGCCATAGAACCGCCGTATCCGGCGGAGAGATCAGCTGAGGAACAGGACAACTTGGAACGTAGCACTAAGAAGAGCAAGCATGACGACCTGTTATCACCGGCGGACCAATCAGCTCCGATGGTGGATATTATGCAGAAAACTCCGATGGACAATGATGCCTGATTTCTGACTCCTCAATCTGGTGCGTCAACACCGGCGGCCATCGGATGAACGCCCCGGGAAGTGAATATTCCAGCGTCTATGTGTCGAGGTTGATATTACAAAACCATTGCGAGGCACAGATAAGGGCAAGACGATAACAAGAACTGTGGTTCAACACAGAGACACATGCCAAGAACAGACGGCAACGCAGATTCTAGAGGCACAGGATCAGAATGAGCCGCCAGACATCAGAACTACTCCCCATGTGGAACTGGAACAATCCAATGATGCAATGGAGGTGGATGGTCGTCAGGCGAATACAAAGTCTTGGAGGCAGATTGTCGTTCGCTCTACGGAGCGTCGCCGTTAGTAAGTATGAATATTATGGTTTGGAAGCTGGTTAACTGGATGAAACCACAACCAGGATAGCATAAAATCAACGTATAGTAGACCCAGTTTCTTAGTCCACCGCCGGCTGACGCTTTAAAAGCAGTAGATGAGGTTGCCATCCGCGTCCCATTATAGCGCCAACATGTATTAACCTTGTATACTTGGACTAGTTTTTTTTAGATAATGTCCAATAATTATTTTTAAATAAATATTTCAAAGTATATCAATGTAATATTATATAGGAATATTCATGCATAGGTAAATAAGTGTTGAATTTGTTTATTTAAATCGGTATTTTAAAGTGTATAAATGCAAGATAATATATGAGAGATATTATAATTGTCATTAAAATAAACGTTTACAACTTTGTAATAACGCTAGTCTAAATACTTAATCTAAATGCGATAGTCTAAATAAAATAATAAATACTATTTGCGTACTATGTTCATAATTACTGAACTATATATTCATAATTATAAAGTTATATATTCATAATTTTTGATCTTCATATTCATAATTTTTGAACTCTATATTCATAATTACTGAACTCTATGTTATAATTACTGAATTATATGTTCATAATTATAAAGCTATATATTCACAATTTTTGAACTTCATATTCACAATTATTTCTCTATATTCATAATTACAAAACTATATATTTTCATAATTATGTTCACAACTCTATGTTCATAATTATAGAACTATATGTTCATAATTTTTGAACTATATATTTATACTTACGAACAGTTTTGGAACCGTTCACCTTGCAAGGTGGACACAGTTCCACAACATAATTTGCCTAGCATAGAAGGATACATCGTGCAATGAGATTATAGTAGTGTAGAAAGCTTTAGTTGTACTATGAACTCTTTATATTACAAGCACCTATTGATATTTGGTAGTTGTAGTTTTTCCCTACATGTTTCATGTGTTGTGAGATGTGTATCGTAGGTTATCATGTGAAAGAATTGAACAAAAGATTAATATTTATTATATTTGTATAAAATACTTGATAAATAAATATATATAACATATTTGTATTATAACTTTGATATTTAATTACAAGATAATGTAAAAAGAAGACAATGGACAATGTAGTGAATATAATAAATTAATAAAATTGAAGGTAAGGAATCTTTGAATTGTAGAAAATAAAGATAATATAACTAATGAAATTATATCTCTTATTAAATTTTTTATAATGAATAATTTTTTTAAAAAAAAAGCATTATAAACATCTAATTCTAAATTAATTAAATGCATATGTATTATTTTTTGTTGTAGCTACTAATTTATTTAATTTAATAAAAGTAATAAAGTGGCGTACATACTTTTCATCAACACTAATGAAATCATTGATTTGTTTTTTTTTTTTTTTTTTAATTTCCATTCGTTGTTGAGACAAATTGTTTTGAGAGTTTGTCAATAACAATTGCTACAATTGCTGTCAATTGATAATAAATAATTCAAAATATATGGTCACAACTCACAATAGATATTGTTATAATGATATAGTAAAAATTAAATTAACATGCAAATTTCTTTAGAAATTTTCATGCATTGATAATATTTTGATGTGTAAACTTATTCAATTGGGGCCAGTGGGATGTCAACATTGTCAATTATTTGAAAAATTGTTGTACCGTTTTAGAGTCCAAGTGTAATTGTATTTATCAGTGTTGCAAAAATCGCGCCTAGGTGCTAGGCGGTGGGAGGCCGCCGCGAGGAATGGCCTCGGCGGCCTCCTCCGCGGCCAGCCGGCTAGGCGGTCGCCTAACCGGCAGGTTCGGCGATTTTTTTTTTTTTTTTTTTTTTTTTTTTTTTTTTTTGTTGAAAATGTGGGAAAAGTTTCGAAAAGTTTCTCAAAAAAATGCTTCTATAGCTCTTAATTTTAGTTTTTTTTTAATATTTAGATGGTTTAAACAATCTTTTGAACAATTTTACAACCACTTTCGTAAATAGAATTTTGAAAATTTTTAATTAAAAAATTTAAAAAAATAAATTAGGCGCTAGGGGCCCCCTTGGCGCCTAGGGGGCGCCTAACGTTTTTTGCAACATTGGTATTTATGATCAACAACTTTGTAGTTAGGTTGCGCAGATCTGACAATGATGTAAGAACAATTTTGTCTAATAAAAAAAATAATAGTATAATATTTGTAAAGTAATGTACAATTGTACCATTATAAAAATACATACAAAAAATATTAATACCATAATGACCTAAACCATTCCAATAATGTAAAAGCATAATTGAAATATTAAGTTTTGTTCTAAATAATCAAAAGAAGATTAATTAAATGAAAAAAAAAAACTTAACCTAAATTTGTTTTTTGTTTAAAAAAAATGCAAGAAATCCAAATGATTTTTAAAGTTCTTGATTTATAATCTTTGATGCTCAACTTTGAATGTTATGTATTTAGTCGGGTTAATTAAGTGCTTTCAAAAACAAAAAATTATTTGAGCAAAGTTTATGTTAAATTATATATATATATATATATATATATATATATATATATATATATATATATATATATATTAATACGTTTTAACATATTTGTAGTATATGTTTAATAATTATGCCAACTCTAATTGGGATGAGATTCGAATCTAAGACCTTTTTATATAAATTAATGAGTATGTTAAGAATAATAAATAGTTAACTGAATATTCCGTTACTAAAGTTTATACTAATGGAATTTAGGGTTATTTAAGAGAAGAAAATAATATAATAGAAGGTAAATAAGGAAAATTATTAAATAATACTAAAATCAAAACAATATGAACCATTCATTTTAAGAGACAGTTATACCAACATTTTTTTGTTCCAGTTAAGGGTCTAACATTATTGCTCTTATTAGATTTGTAGATATCCCAATCCTTTAAATCTAATCTAATAATAATAATAATAATAATAATAATAATAATAATAATAATAATAATAATAATAATAATAATAATAATAATAATAATAATAATAAATAAATAAATAAATAAATAAATAAATAAATAAATAAATGTAATTTGAGCCTTATGGAGTCCATTTTGTATTATTATTGTTGGTTTTATAACAAACGCTTAATCAAAGCAAGTAAACACTACATTGGAGTTAATTCCAGCAATGATCTTCCGACTATATTGATTTTTTAAAATTAGTCTCTAACTTTTAATTTGGACATTTTACATTCATTGACTTTCAATTTCTTTTCAACTGAGGTCCTATCGTCAGATTACGATAAAGTGGACTTTAAATGAAAG